GTGGTGATGTGATCTACCTGGGTTTTTTGAAAGCTTCCGAGTGTCTAGACATTTGGCTACTATCCAAGCTCAAGCGTTACGGGATCTTCGACCTACTGTTAAGCTGCATTGCCAAATTTCTACTTCAATGGCGGTTAGTGGTCGGACTTCAGAGCTCTTTATCTGCCTTCATACCAATCAAGTGTGGTATGCCGCATGGCTCAGTTCTAGGTCCATGTTTGTTTTTGGTGTTTATCAATGACCTTGCACAGGGAAAGGCTTCAAACTTCCTAATGTTTGCCGACGATATGCAGACCTGGTGCAAGATCCAGGCGAACGTTGACCAGCGTCCGCTTCAGAGTGACCTAGATACGGTAAATCAATGGTCTGCCCAAAACTTACTGCATTTCGACGCCAGTAAATGCAAGGTACCTTCTATCGGAAATCAGGGCAGCTACTCATACCGGCTGGTACGAATATACTGCAACAGTCGGCTTTCGGAGTTGCCTTGGGTGTCCTGGTTCTATACGCCTTGGGTTGCTCCAGGCAATCCAAAAAGGCATCGAAGACTGGGTACCAACACGTTAGGCTGTTGCGGCGAGCGTTTGGACAAATAAACAGAGCCATGCATCGACAAATGCTCAGCGCGTATGTTCGCCCCCTGTCGAATGCGCAATTAAAGCCTGGCATCCATGGCTGAAACACAGCTTTAATGTACTGGAGCTGCCACGAGCTCGAGGATCTAAGAACTTAACTGGAATGCGCTGTCTATCATACCAGGAGAGGCTGCGACGATTGAGGGTATGCAGTGGATGCTATCGCTGACTACGAGACGACCCGCTTATGGCGTAATTGATTATACGAGACCCTCATCATGTGTGCCGCCTTTTACTGCGACGCAAAACCAATACAACTCTGAGGGGCCACTCACTGAAGCTCGCTTTACATTATGGCCGCCTAGAGTGCCGCAGAAATTTCTTTTTCGCTCGTGTCCGTCACCCGTTGAATCTTCTCCCAGTATCGGTCGTTTCTGTACTGGCAGTAACAGTATTTAAAAGGCAGTTGGATGACACACTCATCCACGTACACTTTGTCAGTTATCACTGCGTCTCTATGCTACACGTGGAGTTTACCATGGAATTATTTAATGCTAACGGCGGGTGTTGTGAATCTAAGCGAATTGTAGGACTTCGACGGAGCAAACGATATGTTCTTGTTTCATATTAACAGTACTAACTGTTTTACCAGCATTATTATCATTATTGTACTTTCGAGATCCCCACCAACTATTCAACAGGACTTGTAAAGCAAGGCTTATTAACCCGTATAAATTCATTATTCGTTGAAGAAGAAAGCCGCATATCTCCATTGGTCCAAAATTCCGCACCTTTTCGCAAATGTGCTGGAGGCAGCGCATGTTACTTAACAACTCCTCACCGTAGATTGCCGCACATCGGCTGCTAATTCTACCTAGCGTTTTGCACACTAGGGTTATGTAGTGAGAGCGCTACATTTTGCTGCAACGCACATAAGCTACAAGAGACAGATTAAGGAAGCTCTGGTACATATGTTTCGGCAAGGTGTCTTGTAGCCCAACCGGCCTAATGTATACCAAGAACTGAGGGAAGTCAGTGACCCTCCATCTTTCAGCATTCTCGAGTGTGCGACGTTTTCCAGAAAATTCCGCAGCCAAACATGTGGAGCACAGCTTCAAGCGCTTGTTGATTCGACGCATGTATTTGGATGGCGACCAAACCTTTCTTTTACTAGGCCCATCTCGCCAAAAACTTGGAGTCCGTTTCATGACTCCCGAGCACATCATGTACATGTAAGCAATGGGGAAGTATGATATGAGGTCCAAATCGTGGGCTTCGAAGGGTGAAGCACCGATGTGGTGCTCCCGTTGCCAACGGGAAAAGAACTCTTCATTTGTCCGCAGGGTATCCTCCACGGATACCGGGAAAGTGATCCGCCGAGCTGGTTATAGGCCAACAATCTAAAGGTGGAAATTTACGACAAAATGTCAACTTAACAAAGACCGTGCACTTTTCGTATGGGAGGTATACTGAATGTTGCTTACTCTGCTTTAGATAAGCTCTCGCAGTTTCATCAGCGACGACGACCTTAAGGTCCAGTTGCAGGTGTGGACCGCCAGCGTTAATTAATATACGGTGCTTCAAATCCTGCATTGTCAACTGCAGGAACTCATTACCGTCTATTTACTTGCTGTGGCCACTGTAAAAGCTAACGACAAAATGTCCGATTGCGATTACATCACCTTAGAATGAATGGACTATAAGTGTTGCCCGGAACTGCGGAACAGTGACTTCTCACCTACATGTAATAGCAGCCATTGCTATTGCGACAGTGAAACCTTAGTTTTCAGGAAATTGCGTCGCAATCCTGCTTTTACTTCAAGTTACATGAATCGCCCACCACGGCAGAAGCGTTCGGGTCACTGACTGCTGTGTACATGTGGGTGCGGGAAGATGCCGGCAACTTGGGATGAAAACGTCAGAAATGTTGCAGTAATATGTTAAGCTGCGCAACTGAGAGGTTTGACTACAGACAGCAATCGCGGAGAAGTTCCTCGAATCTCACCTCATCCTTAGGCTGTAAAAGGATTCTTACCAAAAGTATTGTGTGACGTTGGTGTACCACATACTGAGTACTAGTTACTGCACGGACCTCCGTATGATACTCAGATCTGACGACGGAAACAGTTGCTGCTACAGCTGCAACGGGCAGTTCCGGCAAAACCACTAAAAAAGTGCTCATCATCATCCGTATACACGTTAGCTAGAGGTGGGAATTACCTCAGGTACTGTGTCGCAATACATAAAAGAATAAAAGCGGAAAGAGCAACAGCTGCAAGCCAAGTGAGCTACTGGTAACGGATGAGCATCGTTCCAGTAAGCTTCGAGCCGGCCACTATGCAGCAAAATAATTTACCTTGCAAAAGTGCCTAGGGATAAGCAGGGGGGTCATGGTTGGATGGGGAGACTAAGGGAGGGGTGGGACAAGGAAACTCACCGCAGAATGCCACTGAGTTCGGCTCGTAGCTATGTCCACAAGCCTATCTAGCCAAGCGCGTTCATCGACTTTCGGACCTTAACCATGTAGCCGGGACGCTGTAACCGAGACCAACTTCAAACGGAGGGTCTTTATTTCTCCCGACCAAGTCATCGCTTGGCCACCACTCATCTTCTTACATCCGCAGCCCTGACCCGAAAACAACGCTGGTCGCTGGAGTCGGTGGGGTGGCCTACGTAACACGTGGCCGAGCCATCGGAGTCCAGAGCTTCTGAAGAAGTGCTAACCTCAACTGGATCTTCATCACACAACTAAACCAGCATGCACACTCTCGGTGCCGAAGCTAAATATGGCGTATATGAGAGAATATGGTATATACCTGGTGTTGCACGCGAGGATGAAAGCATGCTAAAAAGCTTTTCATTATATCTGCGTATCATCCGCTGGACCCCGGACCTAGAGCAACCGTCACGAGACTTGAGCCTTTTGTCATTCACGGCAGACGTTGGAGTTGTAATAACCGTCCTGCTCAACGCGGTAGATCCTCCTTATTCGTCACCTCATGGAGGTCGCAATAGACCGGCATACATTCAATAGAAAGCAGAGAACGTAGGCGTCTGGACAAGCACCTATTAAGAACGAATAGCGACGAAAAACATCAAGTGTCTGTTGGCATGCAGAAACCGAAACTGGCCGAATAGTTACGAGCAACCGAGCGCAGGAGCAAGCTTTCTCACTCAAGGTCCCGAAGACCGGAAAACACACTGGTCCTGAGAGGGGCTTAAAACAACGGCACGACAAGTTAATGGGTAACAAATGGTGCCCCAATTGGTATCTACGGACCAGTGTCGGCGCATATTATAGTGCATTCAAACAAAATCATGCATGGTTTGCTTAAGCAAAATGTAGAAATTGATAACGCAGCGGTGAATGACCATAAATGACGTATAAACGTACGTTTCTTGACCGCCAGAATTCAGTTCCTTATCGGGCGCTTGGGTGTCCGGTGGGACCGTAAACGCCTTGGCCTTTGGAATTCTTCGAATTTTGCTGCACCTTCCGCCCTATACATTCCTGGTCAGTTAGAGTTTCTCTATTCCCTCTATTTACCTTTCTCTAGTTTTCGATCTGCTTTGTTTTAGGAATGGTGGCAGCCTGTTGGGGAAAGGATGTCTAATAGAGTTCCTTGGATCGCTGTGCTCCTCAGCATGAAATTCACTTTTGTATTTGAAAGTTAAGAGAAAGCTGATTCTGTCGCCATCGTAGAATCTGCTGACCGAACTAAAACGGCAGACAAATGCAACACATTGTCGGCTTGCCGTATGCCAAAACTTGTGCGGATTGCGTCCTGCGCTGTTGATGTTGCGTGAATGCTACCCACATACTCTGCGGACGCATGTACAGCGGATGAAATTTTGCAAGAGTTAAACGGCATGATGCCACATTTGCTTAATCTGGCCTCCACATTTCCTTTGCTCTGAGAGTCATTTACCCGTAACGTTTTCTGAAGAATAAGAAATAGCCCTTTAGGTTGTTGGGCGGAGCCTGGGATACTAGTCGGTAAGCAATGACAAGTAAGACGTGTCAAATACGACAGTATAGAAGTCGGAGGAGACTGAACCCAACGTGTATTGTGCAGGCTACAAGAATAGGAAGCGAACCAGACAGAGTGAGAAATTTGCAGCGAGGTACTCACCAAAACAGTTTGTGTCAACGGACGCAGCGCGGAATGATGAGTCGATGGTAGTTGACCAAACCAAAAAATCGACGGAGGTGCTTGAACAAAGTCGGAGCTGGGAGGTCGTTGATTGCCTGGAACTTATCAGGAAAGACTTCAATACCAGACGATGAAACGAGGTGGCCTAGGAATTCTACCTTTGATTTGCAGAGTTCGCACTTAGTCGGGTTAACTGTGACACTGAGTTGGGTCAAGCGCTGGAAGGGAGCTCGAAGATGCTTGAGGTGCTCTTGTTCCGATGAACTGGCTACTAAGATATCATCGAGGTGGGAATATGCGAAGTCAAGGCCACGAGTAACATCGTGCATGAAGCGCTGGAAGGGTTGTGCAGCATTGCACAATCCAAATGGCATTCGTAAAATTCAAACAAACCGAAAGGATTGATGACGGCTGTTTTAGGAATGTCATTGTCTTCCACAGGTATCTGGTGATAGGCGCGAACCAGATCGAACTTGCTGAAGATCGTCTTAACTGTGAGGCATGCGGTTAGGTTCTGCATGTGTGAGATTGGATGCCTTTCTGGGACGGTTAGGCGATTGAGTGCGCGGTAATCACCGCAAGGGCGCCAGTCACCAGATTTCTTGGGGACCATCTGCAGGGGCGAGAACCAAGGACTGTCGGAAGTGTGGATAATTCCAAGCTCAAGCATGTGCTCAAACTCCACCCTAGCTGCCTTTAATTTCTCAGGCGGTAGTCGGCGTGGACGGTATTTCGTCCGTAGGTGGTGCGTGAATTGAGCTGCCACGGGCGCAGCTGCCTTCATTGGCTGAACGAGCTTTGGATACTAGGAAAAGAGCTTAGCGTAGTCTGGCGAGGTCTGAGGAGATGCGTAGACCGGGGAGATAGTTGGGACATCGGCGGTGAGGCCACGTACACTGAGTTTTGTTGCAGCGTCGACGATCATCTGGCGTTTCGCATCGACCAAGAGGTCGGAATGCCTGAGAAAGTCAATATCGATGATGGCAAAGGGGCCTGCAGTGACAGTGAATGCCCAGCGGAAAGTGCGCCGAAGACCTAGGTCAAGGGTAAGCGACCGATGACCGTAGGTGGGTATTGGCATGCCATTTGCGGCACTGAGGCTTGTCCACAGAGAAGCGGTACGCTCACTTGGCATATGGGGAATGACCCTGACTTCCGCCCCGGTAACAACTAAGAACTGGGTATGGGAGTCATAAACCCGAATGTAGAAGAGACGACTTTGGGCTTTGCCAACGCTCCTGTCCATTACAGCACGGCGTGGCGGATCATGTATAGCGGAGTAGCTACACGGCTGTACGCACTTGCGGGCTTTAGTACCGAAACGAGAGTGGTAAAAGCAGTAACCTTTGAAATCAGGTTTTGTGCGAAAGAGAGATGATCCGGAGCGGTTGCGGTGCTTACGGTTTAAGGTGAGTTCCTCGATCTGGCGCTGAAGCGACGCTAGCTGCAGTGATAATGCGTCTAGTGCCGACGGCGGGCTAGTCGCGCCTGTCGTTGTGGTTGCGCCAGAACAAAGCTGCTTAGGCGCTTTGGTTTCAGTCTTTGGCTGGGGCCGTTCGAAAACGCGGTCTGCTAGATCTGCAAGTGCTGTGATGGGCAAGTCACTTGCCACTGCAAGGATAGCCTGTATGCGTTTAGGAGGGCTTTGCATCCACAGCTCGCGGAGAATCCTTACGTCTATGTTGGACATGCCGATGAGCTGTTGCATTTCGCGCAACAAGGCTGAGGGCATCCGATCTCTTAGCTGCAGATCACTAAATAGTTGCTGCAGACGGAACTTGTCAGAAGGCATGATGCGCTGAATAATATCCTGTTTAAGAGTCTCGTATTTCATTACTAGAGGGGGCAAAGTATGATGTCTCTCACCTCCACGGATATACTCCGAGGAAAGCAAGATATTAACTGATTATATATGGCGAAATCAGAAGAAAGCTTACGAATATAAAATACGGATTCTAGTTGCAAAAACCATAATAAAGGATCATTCTCCCAAAAATGGGGAGGGGCTGACGCAACAGAATTGACCACGACAGGCTGAACGGCGTTGACCGCGCATGGAGAAGGCTTATCCTCTGAATACTTCGTTGCAAAAAGCAGCTAAAAATGTGGTAGGTGAGAAAACAATATAATCACAAGTGATGAATCAGAAAAGCACAGGACAAGCTCACCAGAATGAAACTTCAAAATGGCGGGCGGTGTGTTCCTGACAGGGGGTCACGAATTGTTGGGCGGAGCCTGGGATACTAGTCGGTAAGCAATGACACGTAATGCGTGTCAAATACGACAGTATAGAAGTCGGAGGCGACTGAACCCAACGTATATTGTACAGGCTACAAGAATGGGAAGCGAAGCAGAAAGGGCGAGAGACGTGCAACGAGGTACTCACTAAAACGGCTTGTGTCAACGGACGTGCAGTCAGTAAAAATAAGTGGACGTTTCGAAGGTTAAAACACCCGTAAAATCCAATGTTACATAATACTGAAAGAGCTTGTTTTCCGGCACACTACAAGATAAGGTTGTACCTAATTGCTGCCTGGCAATTTTAATAAGTATTTTCTCCCTATCTGTCTTTCTTGGTCCATAGACACCCACCTCAAGGGGTTGAAATAAGTCGGTTGAATTTGATGGGAGTTCTATAAGTATACCATTTTACAATTGCTGCTCAAATGCCTTTACTATGCATGTGTGAAACATGCCCATCAGCAGTTAACGGAACAAGTCTAACCTCTGGTATCAATGGACTGAGACGCTTTATATACCAATCACCAAAACAAGCACTACTCACTCAGCACCTTTCAACGATATTACATTTAAAACTGTCCGGTCTATCGTTGTCTAAGTAACACTTATATGCTTGGGCGCCTAAGGGATATATGGGGCAAGTATTTCCACATCAGTCCAAATACATGTTTGCCCTATGACAGAAATATTTCCTGGGCCACCAATGACGCAAAAAATGTTTTTGTTCCCCTTTTCTTAATCTTGTTCAACCGCTTTGGATCGAGTGGAAAACCACTCTCGCCAACCTTGCATACCTTCAGTCATGTTCATTAGGCTATTGGTAGTTAGGGCTTCATCAGACATCTTCAACCACTCTGCAAATGTCTGTTTATTTTCACCCAACTGGACTTCTGACGTTTTAACTGGGGTCCGGCATGGCAGACACGGAGGTCGCAATAAATATGGTGTAACCGGACTGGACCAGGAACATTATTCTTAAAAGAAACAGTCTTATCTTGACCAACATAAGTAATAAACTCCTCCACTACTTCCACCACTTCTGTGCATGTTAATCCAAACCCTATTTGGGCAGCAAGGTTGAAACAGCTGAAAGGTCTGCTTCTGCTTCAGTGCGAACTATTTCTCTACCATCTTCTCTTTTGCTATATGTTAGTTTTACGTGATCACGAATTTGTACGACGTTGTAGCTCTGTTGTGCCCAATGATACCCTTTATAAATTGAGCTACGGTTTGTTCCATTGCAGCTGTGTCATGTACCGCCAGTTTACGTTCGTAGTTTCGAACGATGATTAAAGACGAATAGAAATCTATATTAAATCACTCATATCTAAAATGTTCCAAAACAAACGGGTTGCGTACACGCCGTGAAATGTAGAATTGCCTCACAAGCTTTTGATATGTGGTGCAGAATTCCCACCACATGCTAGTAATCTGTCATTCATTAAAGTAAAATCTGCACATGAGACAACTTATTTACTGGTGAACAATTATTAATGCTACAACCATATTAACCCATATTACCCATTTTCTGTGAACTTAATGAGTTTAAGACACGTGTAGACTTTCGATAAGTATATTTAGCTCCACCCTGCCCAGCTCCAGGAACAATCATGTTAATCCATTGCGGAATCGTTATTCTACCACGAGTTTGTGAATCACAACAGAAAGGCGTCTGGAAGAAATCGTTAATAGAAAGGCTCGCCGCGCTTCCTTTCAAAGTGCAGCAAATGACACAAATTGTTATCAAATGAACTACTGGTAGGTGAAGGACTAACTCATTTGTTATAATGACTAGCTGTAGGCCAGTACATTTATGGGCGCGCTGGTGATTGCCGTCGCTTTGACGGCTCTCTACTTGGCGTCATCGATGGTATTTCGTAAGTGGGTTACCCATTTTAAAGCACGTAATGTTACGTCAAGGGTACTAGGCGTTTGCTCTGAGGAGGAATTATCGCCTGTGCTCATACATTGTATCCAGCCGGCTACCGTTCTAAAAATAGCATAAGGAGCCAGAATTGCTGCAGTTTGTGTACACACAAGGCGTTGGCGCTGTGCACACCATGCACATGGCAGTAATGGTGTACCAGTGCTTCCGACGGAATCAGGTTATATGTGCAAGTTCCATGGAAATGTTTGCACCAGGTTAGTGCAGTTGCACAGGATGCCGGGGCTATCTCTGAAAACACAGAAGGGAACCCATGCAGCAGTATCGTTCCTGAAAGTGAAATAGCGAGTACCATTACTATTGCTATGTAGTGTACGCATCGTTTGATACGCAACATCCTCGGACCACTTGATTGTCTCCGGAGTATCCAAAATAAAGGAAAACACCGCACAATTATCTGCGGCAGTGCAGTATAAATCGTCGTATATTTGTGTCAGCTTGTAAGAAGGCACTGGCTACGCTACGGCTATATGACCCGACTTGTCGAAGGACTATATAACCTTGATGAACGCTCTGCGGGAAACGGAAAGCACCAGGTTGGAATCCGGGACATACAGTCACCTTGGTGTACCCCTTGGTTTGATGACAACATGTCAGTGCCAGAATCTTAGCCAGCCAGAGAATGTTAGAGTCTAGCTGCATATGGACTGATTCCCCCTTCAGTTCGTCTCGACTGCAGGTGTGCCCAATACCGTGTAAAATCACTTCACCGTTCGTTTCAACCCCCTTTGCATTGGGGCTATACCACGGTCCTGGTAAACCCTCGGAGGTGTATCAAGCTTTGGCTGCCTTAATGAAAGAGCTCATCGGATGGCGTGCGGGCGGGTAAATTTAGCTGATAACTCATTTTCGACAAAAGTATACGTATCCGGTGTAGCATGTCATACCCCGGCACGAGCATTCGTGAAGTGCATCAAAGGACACTCCGGACACAGCAGTTGTGACAAGTGCTGTCACGGTAGTTTGTATGTAAACCATCGGGACACATTTCCACGGACTAATTGCCGGCTTCGTACGAATGAAAGTTTTCGCGGTGCCAGCCACAACAATTCACCACCTTTCCAATGGTTAACTCTAGATTTGATAAGTGCATTCCCAATTGACTATTTGCACTCAGTATGCCTCAGCGTAATGCGTAAGATGATGTCATTGTGACTAACCGTCCCCTGTTAAGAAGAACTGTTGCCTTACTTGACGGAAAACCTGGCAACTGCAGGAATTGGTGCAGGTTAACCAGTCGTGCTGGCCATGTGACTCCACCAGACGTTGTAGCGGCGTTCAGTGGTTGCGTTACTGGAAGGCTACGGAAATCAGACAATTCATATTGGACGCTAGACCAGCGATGATACGGAATGTATGCCCGGATGCAAGCACTTAATCGCGCTACAACTGGGCATCTAGTTACTATGTTATCCAAAGTTTCTCCGCACTCAGTTTGACTTCGCAGAGGCAGCGTTGCAGTTGTACGTTGAGGGCTCCATCCACTTGTATGGCTTGTTCACTCGCTGACACATTTGCGCCAGAAGTTGGCAAACATGAATTATTGGACAATTTCTCTGCTGTTCCTTTTGAGTCGCATATCTATTTGCTAAGATGAATGCTGTGCGACACCGTAAATACAGTCGTACAATCAACATGGCTTTTTATAGAGTACATGAACCAGTTGTTATGCCATCTTGCACCGGTCCCTTGTGCTGACCGTGCTCATTTCTTGTTTATTCTACGTCAACTTGTCTCCTCCATCAATGGAGTGTTCTATTTTGCCGAGTCTCCGGATACGTTGATCAATTTTTCTTGCGAGAGACTTGTCAAACGCAAATTACGTAACGGGGTGGGGATCACAGGAGTTATAACGTGTCAGGCATTTGCCGGAACAACGGACCTCTACGTGAATAACTTCGGTCCAGTGGTGTGGGTATATTCCCTGCAGAAGGACTAGACACCTACTTGCTCACCTATTCTGTCGCGGACATAACAAGTAAATGCGTTTTGTTTCATGCCCTCGGGTGCACTGTACTTGTCCCTATGTTACAAAAGCTTTCGTGGACCACTGATGTCATGTTTGTGTAAGTTTGAGTACTTCATCCGGAACACCTGCTGTGGATTGCCGTGTGAACCATCCCAATGTGCATTATATGCTGTATACTTGCAAGAACGAGCTACTTGTATGATGTAGGACTGTGATCTAACGTCTAGCTAATGCTTTAGTGCTTGGTATCAGCGTTCAATATGCAGTTCGTCCACTGTTACACTTACCCACATTTAGCTGTTTTCCTTGATAGTAGCGTGCATTTTAGGTACCATTTCAAGACCATCATATCACCTGGTTCGCCTTACACACAAAGGTCTCAGTGTGGTGAGCATTACCGGCAGCACGTGGTTGCAAGCGAACGGCGTGACTGCACTTCTTCCATGTGTGCCACATTAACAGTACCACAACTGTGCGGGTTCATAGGCACCCCAGTTTGACGGACAGGAAGCAAAGTGTCAGCACTGTCCGAACTACCGGTATGGTACATTGTGACATGCAATACGCAGATGGCTGAGTACACTTGCTTTCTAGGACAATCACTCGGAAGTCAAATGGATACGGAGAACACGGATGAAACCATTCTAATGGGAACCCCGCCCAAGCCTTTCGCGTAAGC